TCTTCCTTTTTTTTCAGTGCTGGAGATTGAACCCAGGACCTTCTCACTGAGCTACATGCCCATCCTTCTTTATTTATTTTTTTTTTAATTTCAAGGCAGGGTCTCACTAAGTTACTAACGTGCCAAAATTGTACTAGAACTTGTGATCCTGTTGCTTTAGCCTCTCAGAATGCTGGGATTACAAGCGTATGCCACTGCACCATTATAAACCAGCAAAGACAAAGAGAAGAGCGTCAGACGCTGGTACCACTGAATAGCTGAATAAAAACACTCTAATTCTTGAGATTATAAAACCAAATTTACATGAACAGACAAAATTATGTGCTAGCACATTTTATGTTCCTATACTGACTAGTGACCTTAGAACTGTAACAGACGCTAAAATTAAGTATGCATATATTCCAACTTCCCCCATTTTTCTTTCTTTACTGAAAAGTAGCAACTTATTTTCGCACAAGGATTCAAAATAGCTTAAATAATAAGTGTCTCTTATAAACACAGGAGCTAGAGATTGTTTCCATCTACCCTGTGGGGTAGCTCTAAATATGGTAGTCATATATGAGTAGCTTTGCTGAGGCAACATCAGGGGACAAAACTGCTTAGTGTGGTGCATTAGACGTTTGTTGATTCAAAGCAGTGCCTGCAAAGCTAGTCACAGTTTCAGTGAGCAAGCCATCGCGAGAGATAAAATGTCAGCTGTAAGAGTCTAAGTCTTCAGTCAACTCTGTGTGTGTGTGTGTGTGTGTGTGTGTGTGTGTGTGGTGTTAGGGATGGAACCCAGAGCCTCACATTTGCTAGGCAAGTGCTCTACCATTGAGCTACATCCCCAGCCCCTTCAGCCTGCTTTTGATTAGGAGACTTGCCTACCCTCAACTGCAACAGCCCCAATATATGAACATGAGCCCTGGTCTCAGCCCTGGGAGTGAGATAAAGCCAGATATCATCCACAAGTTACTCTACTTTTGAAATCCTAATGAAATACGATATAGTTACTGCATATTCAAGTGTGCAAACTGGCCTTTCATTATACTTTCCTTTTCAAAGGGTTGTTTTTAAACTTCCAGAAGCTGAATCCGTTCCAGGTGATTTTCAAAAGCTATTAAAAGCACTAAAAGCACAAAGGGTAGATAGACCTAAAGAGTAGGTAGGGGTTGAAATCCATATTTGTGTCCAGCAATATTCATATAGGTCTCTTGTACACTGAATAACTTATGCCAGGACCAGTTATAACACTTGAACAGAGAACGTAACAGTGAACAGAGAACATAACAGTGAACAGAGATCTGACAACCACCTGGACCTCTGCTAGCCATTGTCTTTACTGGTCAAGACAAGGACTATGTATATATTTCCAAACCGCAAGTAGTTTTCAACAACATCCCCCCATGGGGACGTGCAGTGTGTCACATGCAAGAGAACAGCTCACAGGAGGATGTTTTCCCCCAAGAAAAGAAATCACAGCCAAACCGAATGAAGAAGTTCTTGCTTCTGGGTTGTATATTTGCTTATTCACCATGCACCCAGATAGCCCATCTGGGTTGAACTTAACTTTAGAAATGTGTGACATAATGATGAATTTGTTGCCTTCTACTGCTGCTTCAAAAGGAAATATTTCTAACTAACCTTTGCTCCCTTGGATCTCCCAACAGCCATCTTACTCTCTGGCTACCACTGACTAGTTTGAAAAACATAGCCAAATATTTGATCTTAAAATGAAATTTTGAGAATGGAGAAAAGGCATTTTTCTTACCTGTACTCCTCATCAAGACGTATTGCATTGCATCCTTCTGTTTTAGACATCTGTCTAGCTCACAACAAAAGGATGGGTCAGTTAGTTTGGGAGCTGGGTCTGCCTTGATGAGGGGCCTTTCACTCGTGATTAAATGTGGAATGCCTGACCACTCTCTCTGAGATCCAGCGCTAAGAAGTGCCAATACAGATGTGAAAACCCAAGCTTTGTCCTAAAGGCAAGCAGCCTTAGCATCCCCTGCACCAGAGAGGCCTTGAAGTCAGGCCTTCAGGAAATCACAGTGAGGTTCCCCTCTCTCTGTCCTAAGAGACAAGTTTTCTGCACCACACCCTACTAAAGAAAACTCAGCAAGAAGCAAAGAACAACAAAAAACCAATTTACAGTTAAATTTAGTTCTATCTTTAAATTCAGTGACTCATTTTGTGTTTTATGATTGCATTTTTAGTATATGTATATATCAAAAATCTTAGATGGACATAGTGGGGTCCACTTGTAAGCCAAGCACTCTGGGAGGCTGAGGCAGGAGAATCACAAGTTCAAGCCCAGTCTGGGCAACTTAGTGACATAATGAGATCTTGTCTCAAAATAAAAAGTAGGAAGGGCTGGGAATGTAGTTCGGTGTGCAGGCCCTGGGTTTGATCTCTACTATTGCAAAACAAAAAATCTTACTGTGATTTATCTCTTCCTTCATATTATTCCTTTCATGGTAACCTGTCACTCACAAATGGCACCATAGTTTAGGCAGCACATCTGAGTAAGAGTTTCAAAAGAGAATTTTTGTATATTGAATCTTACTTAACAGAAGCCTGTGGTGGCATCTTTTGTTTCTATACCACCATTTACTCCTCAAACTACAAATTCCTCCATTGGTTACATCTAGATTACTATCTACAGTAAAACCTCAGTTGAATGTGTCAGATTATGGGCTGTTCTGATTGTTTTTCTGATTAAGCAGAAATATTTCTGTCTAAGTAGAACTTGGTAACCACCTCCAAAGAAGTCTGTGGGGCCTTGGACAAACCTTTAGACTATCAAAGTTGCAGATGACAGAAAAGAGAGTAGAAGACTGAAAAGCACATGTGCGGTGAGTCTAATGTTACTAGAAATTTGATATAAACTTGTTTTCATATGACTTGGTCCTTTTTCCTAGGGGCTAATGACAGTCAATGCAGTTCTAGCTATCAAAGATTTATTGGGTTACTTACCCTCATCGCTGGCCTCCAGAGTGTCCAGATTGCTAGAAATTTCACTTAGTGATTCAGACATGATAGGATCACTAAAATATAGTACAAAGAGAAAAAGAAAAAGAGGATCATTTGATATCCCGAACGTCCAATCACTTCATGCTACCACTTCTTTAGTTAGATTCTTAAACTACTCAAGAAAAGATGTACAAATGGAATTGCCACTAGGAAGACTTATTCTTCCTTTTCAAAAGACATTCATTTCATTAACACAAAATGTCCAGAAGAGACAAAGGTCTAGACCGGGAGATTTTCTTGCTTAGAGACAGAAGGATGGGATTCCTTGTGGTAGTAGATGAAGAATCACTGAGCTAAGCTTGGCCAGCTTAGTAAACATGGCAGCACCCCTAGGGTCCATCACTAAGGAAGCCTTTGTAGACACTGGGGAAATAAATTACCTCTGAACTTTAGAGAAGCACATGGAAAAGGAGCCTTTTATCCAAAATGCCAAGCCACAACAAATTATCATTGCCCTTGACCCACCACTGCCATGGTAGAAGAAATAACCACTAAAGAGAAAAATATTACATCAAAAGGGAGAGCAAGAAAAGAGAGCATCTTGGCAACATCTAAACACCTAAAGCATTAGTACAACAATTCAGTGTGACCCTGGAATTCGGATCATCTGGCAAAATCACACATGCCATATGTGACATACTTTCAGTTATACATGCCTTAATTCCCTAACCAAATCCTAAACGCTTTGAGGACCCCACTGTTAACCAAGCACATGTTTGGAACACACAGAACCATCTGCCCTCCTCAACAAACCGACAATGACAACAAAACACACAAACCTCTAAACCCTCTTCTTGTTACTACTCCAGCTCTCTGCATCACTTGAAAGCAAAACTCAAGAGTTAGTTATACTCACTAGGTTTGTGTCCTCAGTTCTTATTCTTGTGAGCCCTGTCCAACCAGGCTTCCAAATTCAGTTTCTTCTAACTGTTCCACTGAAATTGCTCTTCTTAAATCCAACAGGGATCTTCTGACGGCATCTGACTCCCTTTTTGACCACTCCCCCTTTTTGGATAATTTTATCACTTGCCTTTCAGAACACAACATTCCTCTACTTTTTGTCCTACTTCACTAGCTGTTCCTTCTCAGTGTTCTTTGCTGGACCTTCCTCCTCTTCCGGATCTTGAAATGTAGCACCCAGGCTTTTGTCCTTGGCCCTCTCTTTATCTACATTCATTCCCTAGGCCAGCAACATTAAATAACAAAGTTAACATGAGCAAAATTACAAGCTGCACGTGTGATTTTAAGTTTTCTAATAGCCATATTTTTAAAATAACGATGAAAACAAGCCCCCAAACAGGTGAAACTACTTTTAATGATCTATTTTATTTAACCCAAAATAATCAAAATATTATTTCCGTGTGTAATCACAGCATACTTTTACATTCTTCTTTTCCTACTAAGCTGAAGCATCAGTTGTGTCAGCCCTTTGCTCCAAAGTGCCCCAAGTGGTTTGCCTTCTAACTCAGAGTAAAACCCCAGCCCCTGCCCATGGCTCTTACATGACCTAGCCTCACTTTCATGCCCCACTCATCATCAGTCCTCCTACCCTCCCATTTTGTCCCTCTGCTCCAGCCTCCCTGAGCATCTTGGTAATCCCCAACACACCAAGCCCCTTTCAGTCTCAAGATCTTCGTATCACCTGCTTCTTCTGCCAGGAGGGCTCTTTCTCTAGACAGCTGCATGTCTGGCTCACCTGTGACATTCAAGCATTCAGTTTCACTTCCCCCAGAGAGCATTTCCCTGATCATTCTAGTTAGAGAACTTCCCATCTCTCCATCATATTTTCCTTTATCAACACCTTCATAGTACTTGTAATTGCCTGAAATTGTATTCTTTTTTGATTTTTTAATATTTTATTTTTACTGGTACATGTTTGCAGTATATAATGATCATATTCCTCTTGGGGATTTGGTACTAAATCATGTTCTACATAACTAATTTAATTACTGGTGTCTTATTTGTCTCTGCTGCTAGAATGTAAACACCATTAGGACAGGAGCTTTGTTTAACACAGGTACTCCCAGCACCTAGAATGGTACCTAGAACAGAAGAGTCACAGGATTTACTGGTGGATTAAATATGGCAGGTGAGAGGAATAGCAGATATTCAATACCAATATATTTGTTGAAGGAGTGCATAAATTCAAAGAAAAAATGGAAATAATCTAAGAAACATCTTTTGGTCAGCAATAGAAGTAGTAGCTGTAAAGAAAATATCCGAGGAACAGATAAAAAGATGTGGTCTTTTATACAATGGAGTACTACTCATCTACGAAGAAGGATAAACTCGAGGCTTTTATAGATAAATGGATGCAACTTGAGACCATACTCATAAGTGAAATAAATCAGACTTGCATGTGTGAACATTCTATTGTCTCCCTAGTGTGAGAAGCTGAAAAAGTAAATGAGATACAAAATGTGAAATAGATATTGTGAATTTGGAAGAAACTGTTCAAAAGGAAAGAGAAGCTGGGATGGAAAGGAGAAAAGGAAGGGAAAAGGAAAAATAAATAAATATCTGTGTATATATATGCCAGTTAAGATAGGTATACTACTAATTTCTGACAATTCATTGAAAAGAAAGGTTTCTGCTTATATTGTTTGACCAATTTTTCGTGCGTATATCTTGTAATCTGAGCACCTACTTTGAAAATAACAATACCCAATGTATTAACCATCATTACTCCCCTACAACCTTGTTTTGTAATTTTGTATCATTGTTTTCATTGTTTTTTCTCCTTAAAATAAAAAAATGTGGGATTTATGCACAGTGGAGTATTGCTCTGCCATAAAGAAGAATAAACTTGAGTCATTGGTAGGAAAATGGATGCACCTTGAGACCATAATGTTACATGAAATTAATCAGATACACAGGCTTAAATGTCACACGATTTCTCTTACATGAGAAATTGAAAACATAAGTAAATTAGAGAACAAAATAATAAGAAACAGAGATACAGGTCTTTTGCAAAAAGGAAAGGAGCAAGAGTTGGAGGAAAGAGGAGGAAGGGGAGGGAAAGGGGATAAGAAAGAATGACGATATATTCTGTACATGTACCAGCTCCCGCACAATGAATGTAATCATTATATACTGCAAACAGGTACAGTAAGAATTTTTTTTAAAGAAGTAGTGGCTGGACCCTAGTGGAGGTGGAAGAGGTTTCTCTTCCTGCTTAGCAGCCACTGCCACTGACAGAAATTCTTTCCTTCATCTTCAGGATGACCTTATTAAAGAGAGCTTTGTTTCCTGTTACGGTTTGGATCTTAAATGTCCCCAAAGGCTCATGTGTTCAAGGCTTGACCCCAGTGCAGCTGTATTCAGAGGTGGGGCCTTTGGGAGATGTTTGGATAATGAGGGTTCTGACCTCATCAATGGATTAATCCATTTATAGATTCATAACTTAGTGGGTTTGAGGGAAGGGGCTTGTTACACAAGCAAGTTTTTTTTGGTCCCAGGAATCAAACTCGGGGCCTCACACTTGCCGGGCAAGCGCTGCACCTGCTGAGCTACACTCCCAGCTCCGTAAAAGCAAGTTCCTCCTGCTTTCTGGCTTCCATGAGCTGAGCAGCTTTTCTCCAGCCACACCCTTCCACCACGAGGTCCTGCCTTAGCACGGGCCTAACGCAACCAGACAAAGTGACCAGGAACTGAAATGTTTGAAACTGAGAGCCAAAATAATTCTTTCCTCCTGTTCGTTGATTTCTCTCGGGTATTGCATCACAGTGACACAATGCCAACGAACGCTCTTCCCAAGTCTCTCCTCACAGAGGTGTCACTGTGTTTCCCTCATGTATCTCATTATCCCTGATATGAATTTATAGTGAATTTATTCCTTAATCATACGGGGACAGTTAATGAGTATCTGTTCTATACGTTCGTTTACTATATTCAGCCACAACTGTCACTTCACTAGTGTCTCAAAAAGTAACAATGTCATGCGCCTCCCCTGCTAAAGCTTATTCACCAGCTTCATGCTGCTTGCAGGATAAAAGCCAAGCTCATAACACTCAAGGCCCTCTGATATCTTGAGCTCCCTGCCCCCACCCCAATCTCCCAGTAGCCCACTCCCACTCGCAGGGCTCCCAGAGTCACCATTCCCTAAGCATACTATCTTCTTTTGTTTCCTTTGTTTTGCACAGCCTGCCCACTTGGCCAGAAACACTGTCCTCCTAATCCCCATATCCTAGAAATCTGGCACATTCTTTAAGACATAGCTTAAAGGCTCTGCCCCGGAGCATTGGCTCTATGCTCGTACCGTTGCTATAGCTGATGTCACCTTAAGTATAGAGACATCACCAGCACCTAGCATAATTCTAAGCACACAGAAGGTGCTTACTCTATGTTTTGCAGATGGATGAATTCAGGAGTAGGTAGGAAAGGGTATTAGAGTGACAAGTAGGAATCAGTGGGAAAAGTGTCACCTTGTTGAAAGGAAACATATGGGACAGTTGGAGGTATGCTTTAAAAGTAAAGGACGTCTCTGCAGGAAGCCCCATGGAAAAGCTGTTGAGGTGAGTAAAGAAAGAGGGAAGATAAGTTTTTGTGCAGTGCATGGTGACAGACCTTCAGAGCTACATCCAAAGAGCATTAAGTCATTCAATAACGGTCATCAGGAACTCTGGCCCAGCAGGGATAGAAATTTGCATTATTGAGTCATGATTAACATGCATGTTTGCTTCTCACTTAGGCCCCAGAGCTGCCCTTTCCTTCACTGCCCTCTCAGTTAAGGGCCAAACGGGATCTAGCGGAATGAAAGAGGAAAAACAAGGAATAAAGGCCTATCTTCCAAGTTTGCTGAAATTTGTTAACCACACTTGGAATCAGGTTCAAGGACTCAGAAGACTTTGTTTGGCAGCTTTCCTGCCTTTCCAGCATGCAGCATGCTAATGGAAAGCAGCTGGCTTCGTGCTTTTCTTTAAAAAAAAACAAAAAAAAAAAACAAAAAAAAACAGTCTAATAGGATAAAATGTTTTTTAATAGAGTCTGTTGTAAATAAAATTCTAAGATGGCCCCCAAGATTTTCACCCCTGGTATATATGAATGTGAGCAGCCCTAATCTAATCAGGTGAGATTTTTAAAGGGGGACCTGAGGTCATCCCTAAAAGTCAGATTTGAAGCTGTAGTAGATGCTTTCTTGTTTGATCTTAAACCAACAAGCTGCCGTGCTTGGAGAGCCACATGGCAGGCTATGGCAGAGGGTTGCTAGTACCTGTAAGCAACCTTAAATTACTAGTCCTTGAGAAACCAAGGACTTAGCCCTGTGATCACAAAAAACTGAATTCTGACAACAGTCGGTTTGGAAGATGACCTTGAACCTCAGACGAGACCTCAGCCCTGGCTGATACATTGATTACCATCTGGTCAGACCCTGGGCAGACGATCCAGTTAAACCACACCTCAACTCTTGGCTCACGGAAGCCAGCAATAATAAATTTATACTGACTAAGTTATTTGTCATTTATTAAACAGCAATAAAAAACTAATAGAGTCCTGTAGGCTCCAGCTCCAATTAAGAAAGAAGTCCAAAGTGCAGTAGGTTTGGGGCCATGTAAGCTGCAACACAGAACCATGTACAGAAGCCTATGAGAGGATCATCTGTACCTCACCACAAATGTTTCTTTATGCAGAACTATGTTGCCACTTTCTCAACTGAGTTGTGAACTGCGGACCTTGCCAAAAAGTTAGAACATGCCAAACCTCCTAAAAGCTTCATTTTGTTTGAAATAGCTTTCGCTATCCCCAAGACAGGAGCTTCAACCCCTTTCAAACTACTGCTATACTTCATGCTTTCAACTAGGGGTGTATGTGTCTGCCAAAGAGTGGATGGAAGTCCTAGAGAGGATCATTCAGACATGGCATGCGGAGAGAATGGAGGTGATTAGCTTTTTCCTTGAGACTGCTGACCTCGCTTTACAGGAAGTATCTGAGGCCAGGATACT